CCTACACTCTATGGGCAGATTTAGTTGTGCGAAGACGGTCATGCAAGCTGGTCCTAGTGGCTTTAAAAAGGGAAGTAACCCCAAAAAAGGACTTGCCACCTCAAGTCCTAATGGAAGGGGATTCCCCTTCTAAACCCTAAGACCATCAACACACTCCCCTCTTCCCATCCCATCAATCATCACCAGATCTTCAATAAAGGTAAGTGTCATGTAACTGTGCATGTCTTCTTCAGTTTGTGTGTATTAAAATTAATATTTCATGTGTTAAAATCTTTTTTTTTCAATACTTTTGGGTGTCTTGCATGGATTAATTTGATTTCCATTATTTCTTATGGGGAAAATTAACTTGACTAACGTTTATTTTGACTAACGATGAGCTCTCAAGAACGGATTAATAGCGTTAGTCGAGGGTCCACTGTATTATTATTTTGCACACGGAACACAGGCCTATGATTCCCCTCTGGCAGTAAACTCTGCTAGGTACTGCACACTAATTCTCCTTTTTTGACTCAGTATATAATGTTTTCCGCCCAAGATTGGTTCCAGGCGCTAGAGGGATGTATCGTATAGGATTGATGGCACAAATTAAAGTTCTGGCACGTAAGAGCGACCGTGAAAACACGAGAAAACCCGGAGCACAACGAGGCACGCTGACACTTTGTTGTCCCACTTGTTGTCCCTGTTCATCCATCAGTAAAATGGGTACCTGGGTGTTGGTCGAGTGGTGTGGATTGCATCCTGTTCAAAGTAGCCGATTCTTGGAGGAGCGCCCTTCAAGTCAAGGTGAACCAAGCTGTGTACTTTTTCAGCATTATCCTCCATTCTTCAGAGTTAAATAATTTCCTGGTGACCGGGGTACAAATATTACTGTAATCTGGGCGGAGTCTGATGGTCTTGACAGCCTCGGGGGAGGAAAAACAAGAGGAAAGCCCTATATAAGCTGAATTATCTTGTGTAGGGCAATCTTTGAAACAGTGGTATGGATAAAGATGGGGTTTACCTGGAGTTTACCTGGAAAGGGTTTCGGGGATCAACGCCCTCGCAGCCTGGTCTGAGACCAGGCCTCATGGTGGATCAGGGTCTGATCAACCAGGCTGTTACTGCTGGCTGCACACAAACTGACGTGTAGATGAATGGTTCAGAGAACCGACATGTTGATAAATTAGACACGTTAGAAACGTTTCGCCACACAGTGCCTTCATCAGTCCATACAAAGGAGAATCTTGAAGATTACCTCATTCTCCTCCCATTCTTCAAGATTCTCCTTTGTATGGACTGATGAAGCCACTGTGTGGCGAAACGTTTCCTCAATAAAGATACCCAAGAGTTGCACATGTGTCTAATTTATCAACATGTCGGTTCTCTGAACCATTCATCTACAAACCTGTCAGACACTGCATCTTCTTGGGATCTTAATACTTGGGAATTCTTCGCTTGCCTATTTCTTGGGCACGACCTACTTCAACATTGAATAAGTGTTACACTGCCTCTGACTGCTTCACCTCTCCTGCCAACGGTTTATAAGCTCCTTCTCAGCACGTATGCCGTATTCTATTCAAGATTGATGGACTGACCACATCGACTCAAGGTTGAGGGACTGATTACCTCATTCTCCTCCTATTCTTCAAGATTCTCCTTTGTATGGACTGATGAAGCCACTGTGTGGCGAAACGTTTCCTCAATAAAGATACCCAAGAGTTGCACATGTGTCTAATTTATCAACAAACTGACGTACAAACCACAGCCCGATTGGTCAGGTACTGATTTTAGGTGCCTTTCCAGTGCCTTCTTGAAGACAGCCAGTGGTCTATTGGTAATCCCCATCATGTATCCTGGGAGGCAGTTGAACAGTTTTGGGCCCCGGACACTTATTGTGTTGTCTCTTAGTGTACTCGTGGCACCCCTGCTTTTCATCGAGGGAATGTTGCATCTCCTGCCAAGTCTTTTGCTTTCATGTGGAGTGATTTTCGTGTGCAGGTCTGGTACCAATCCCTCCAGGACCTTCCAAGTGTATATTATCATGTTCTCTCTCGCCTGCATTCGAGGGAATACAGATCAAGGACCATCAACCATTCTCAGTAGTTTAGGTGCCTTATCGCACTTATGTGTGTCGTGAAAGTTCTTTGTACACTCTCCAGGTCTGCAATGTCACCAGCCTTGAAGGGGACCGTTAGTGTACAGCAGTATTCCAGCCTAGAGAGCACAAGCGATTTGAAGAGAATTATCATGGGCTTGGCATCCCTAGTTTTGAAGGTTCTCATTATCCATCCTATCATTTTCCTAACGGATGAGGTAGATACATTGTTGTGGTCTTTGAAGGTGAGATCTGCTGACATTATCACTCCCAGGTCCTTCACATTACTTTTCTGCTCTATTGTACGGTTAGAATTTGTGGTAAACCCTGACACAATTTTAATTTCTTAAAGTTTCCCATATCTGAGTAGTAGAAATTCCTCCTCATTGAACTTCATATTGTTTTGAATGGCCCATTCGAAGATTTGGTTGATGTCCGCTTGGAGTCTTGTGGTGTCATCGATGGAGGTCACTGCCATGGTGATCCGGGTGTCATCCGCAAAGGAAGACACGGAGCTATGGCTTACATCTCTGTCCATGTGCTGCTGGGTCTGGTGCAGTGCTCCATCCTTGAGTGGAGGTGACCAGACTGGGTAGGTCATTGGGCTAATCCGGGGTGGGTGGGTCATTGGTCTAATCCGGGGGAAAGGACATGGACTTGCTCTGCATGGGTCAGTAGGCTTGTTGCAGTGCTCCTTCTTTCTTATGTTCATATGAAGATGAGGAATAGAATGGGAGCGAGTACTGTGCCTTGTGGAATAGAGCTTTTTACCATGGCTGCCTCAGACTTCACTCTGTTTACTATTACTCTTTGTGTTCTATTTGTCAGGAAGTTGTAGATCCATCTACCAACTTTTCCCGTTATTCCTTTATCACGCATTTTGTGCGCTATTACACCACGGTCACACTTGTCGAAAGCTGTTGCAAAGTCTGTTTATACTACATCTGTATTTTGTTTATCCTCTACAACATCCAGGACCTTGTCATAGTGGTCCAGGAGCTGGTACAGGGAGGAGCGACCTGCTCTAAACCTGTGTTACCCTGGGTTGTGTAATTGATGGGTATCTAGATGGGTGGTGATCTTGCTTCTTAGAACCCTCTCAAAGATTTTTATGATGTGGGATGTTAGTG